AAAGCATTGAGTATCCAAAAGAATGAAAAGAATGGAAGGATGTGCCATGCAGACTTAGGTCTGAGCCTCCTCCACCCAGATGCTCTGGGACTGATGATGATGGCCTGGACCACAGTGAGGAGACTGCTGGTGCAGATGGAGAGGCCACGGGCCACCCTCTCCAGGTAAACGATGATCTTACAGCCTATGTCATCTAGGAAGTTTCTCAAACCAAAAGCTGCTATTGTCTTTGGCAATCCTTTTGCAAGAAGGATCATGATGTTTGCAAAAGCCAAGTGGATGAGAATAAGGTGTATGGGTTTCCTCTCAGGGCCTCCCCACCAAATGAACATATAATTCACAGAAACAGAAATGTTCCCCAGAGTGCCAAGTATAGTCATGAAGATAAAAACTATTTCCTTAATAAACTTCAAAACCATTTCTTCCTTTCCTAAGTAGAAAATTTCGTGTCCAGGATGCAAAGATTCTTTCAGGAAAGCATCAGTAATGCTAGACATGGATCTGAAAAACACATTTTGCACGATAGCATTTTCTAGTGTGCAAGAGGCAGCAATGGACACATGTAATGTATGCAGATTAGATCCTGGAAATGCCCTAATTTTCCCACTGTGGACTCTGGGATATTGTGTGTGCTCTGATAGGTGAGTTTGGTAACTGCTATTCAAAAGCTAAAGTTTTAAAGGAGATATTTATTTTTGAGCTCTACACTAGCAAAATTGACTTGTTCAAGTGGTGTGTGCATGTGTGTGTATGTGTGTCTATCTGTCTGTCTCTGTGTAGGGTTTATCCTAGTTAACACTCTGCATAGCTGAATCAAACTCCAGTTTCTCCAACCAACATTTCTTCCTCTGTTTCTCATTCTATTTCATCATATTTCCCCACCCCACTCCCAAAGCCTGAGGCTCATGCTGAATCTGTGTGCCTTCCCCACATCACCTCACAGATACTGGGAATCCCTGCTGAGTCAATACCTGTAACATATCTCAGATTTAGTACCTCACCCTCCACTCTGTTTCCTCCTTTGTTGATATTCCTTTCTTATCTGCATCTTGACTAAAGTAACAATTTCTATATATACCTTTGGCTTCAAAGTTTTATAACTTCCATTTCCACATCTTAATCTTTTAAAAGTTCCTATATTGACCACTCTGTGACTTCACTCCATATAAATGTTTAGTAGTTACTTTTTGAGGTAGTCCTCAATGTCAACTCAAATTGTGTAACCTTTTCAGTCAGGCCCTGACAGTTAAAGATGAGTCACAAAAAGACATGTTGAAAAACTCATGTACCTGACAGGTTGCAGGTAAGGAGGGCGTCTTGAAGAACTCTGTGGTGCTTCCTAGAAGAGGAGGTAGCAGACAGCTTTGACCCCAGTTTATGACTTCAGGGCATATGACCCCAGTTTGTGACTCCAGTGAGCGACCTGAGGGCATCTACAGGAGTATGGATCAGCTCTCCACCAGGGGATAATTAGGAGGTGGACCGGAGAAGGGGATTAATGAAGTATTATGTGCTGCTATGAAATGAGTGCAGTTCATGACTTACGACTCCTCAGCATTTTCTACATACAATGCTGTAGGTTGGGGCATACTGTGTGAGCAGGGATTCCCATCTAAGATTTCACGGTGGCATTTGCCTCTGTGGGGCCTTATGAGCAGCAGTTTGTCAGTTTGCTTTGCAGCTGCTTCTCCTGATTCTTCTCCAACCTGTGTATCAGGCAGGCTGCTTTGTTCTGCATCAGTCTGAGCGGGATTCCAGAACTCTAGATCTTGGCAGGATGTTATTCTTCATGTTCAGGAGCTCCTCCATTCTCATTTCTCAGGGACTTATGGTAAGCTTTTGGCACCTTCTAGAATGAGAGGAAACTAGATAATTCATGGGTTTGTGTGTTCTGAGTACTTGGAATGCCTCTGTTCCCTTATTCCTGTGAAACTTACAGGATTGTTTTAACTGTCTATGTCTTGATGATATCACCTGTGACCTGCATGAACCGAGCCATATTCCCAGGTTTGGGTTTATGTTGCCTCACGACTCTAGAAATGTCAGTTACTTCCTTTCAACTGCTCCCTGATGGACGGGTTTGCCCTATTATTGGTGTGTCCTAAAAATTGCAATATCATCCCAGATATCTGCACATAATGAAATATGCTCCATAGAGTAATAGCAAGCACATCAGCATTCAGTAACAATTTAGAATAAAAATTCAGTGTTCAGTCAGAGGCTGGAATCTGTAAAAATCCCTTCAATACTTCCACCTGATGGAAAACATTAATATTTTCTTTTTGCCTAATGCTTGATTTCCTGGGGATTCCTACTTTTCAGGTCTCTCTCTCTCCTCCCACCCAAAAGTTTCAATCATATTTCAGAACAAATTCTGATCTAATAAGTGATCCCTTTTACTGGAGTGGACTGTAAGAGGAGGGAGGGGCAATTCATCTTCCACATTATACTGGGAAACACTACAGGAAATTAATTTAAAAGACAAGATAGACTTGTGCTTAGAAATATGGATGATCCCATGTCTGGAAATAAAACCCAAGAAGGTAACATAGGTTACATCCGTCCATCATGGTTTTCTAAAAACAAGGAAACAAAAGCAAAACAGACTATTTCTCTTTGCTGCTTAGTACTGGGATAAAATTTAGATGAGCTATTCAGGATATGCTAATTCACAGCCTGTTTCCTTGATAGCAGGAACTCTCAAGCTGGTAATGAAGACTGTTACACTTAGTGGTTTATATTTCTCTACATCTGACAGGCATACAAAAACTGAAGCTGATATAAGTATGTATATTATTATGTGATAGACTGGAGAGACTAAGGATGGATACTGAAGTTAACATGTTATTGTAAGAGAAGACATGTGCAAGTATTTTAAAAGTGGAAATGCACCAAAAGTGAGAAACACCAATGTTACAAACACTAGTGATGCTGTTGGAGTCACAATGCTGGCAAACATGGAGGATGAAACAAGAAATTCTGTTTTTGTTTTGTCTTGTTATTTTTGAGACACAGTCTCCCTATGTGAACCAGGCTAGCCTTGAACAACAATTACCTTGTCTCTGTCTCTAGTGTGCTGATGTTACAGGAGTATATCCTGATTGTCTCCAGGGTTTGAGAGATATCTGAAATCTTTGGTACACTATTGATTCTTTTTTTTTTTTTTTTTTTTTTTTTTTTTTTTTTTTTTTTTTTTTTTTT